TACTGGAGAACTGCATGATCTCCACACTTGCTTGGGATGCATGAGCAGTAATTTGAGTTGGCAGGTTTCTAGACTTCTGTATTTCACGTTCTGATTTGAGATTTAATCAACTTTGATGGAAAGAAAAGGACCAAAGAAAATTGTCAGTATAATTAGCTGACCCAATTCCCCAGTTCTGAGACGTACTAAGATAGAAGTTTGAAAACATAAAAATAATAGCAAGAGGAGAAGGAGAGAAATTAGAAAAAAAAAACATCAAAACCATTGATTTAAAAAAGAAAAATAATCTATAACTATTGCGTTTTGTAGAGGTTACTTCACATGTGAGTTGTACTAGCATAGTTGAGGAACAGAGTAGGGTGAGATATATGCATTTGGAAGCATTGTCACCAGTCAGTGCTACTTTAATTAAGTTGATCTAATTGTAAGTGTATGTAATAATTCTTACCTAGGGACATGATAAAATCCAACTTTTTGTAGAAATAATACAGAATCGTGGCTGTGAAGCTCAAAAGTTCTGGAAAAAACACAATGTAAGTGATGCATCTCAGTTACACTGTAGCATATCTCGCTAGTTTTGCAAATAAGTTTTGAAATTTTGGAAGTTTTGGAATTGAAAGTGCAGAAAAACCTTGTTGTTGATTACTGTTGTTTGTTTTTGCTGTTCTTCACTTCTGCATTTTTTTCCTTTATCTTCCATCTTTGGATCTTATGTTTCCCTTTTTATTAAGATCTCAGCTTATTTCCTTCTATCTCTGCAAAGAAAGGGCCCAAAAGTGCCCTGTGACACTTTAGATGCATAAATTAGAGCTGCAAAGAGTGACCGTGAAAACCTCATGTTAGCAGTTAAATTGTGCCATTATATTCCCCTTTTAATCCTCCTCCTTTGCTGACAGAACTGTCCATTTTTCCTGCCTGAAACTGTTAATGGCCAATATTTGACTACATCTTCAGTAAATGTAAGTTAGCACACAGTTTGTAGCATAAGGAAAAGAGCGGCATCTCTTGTTTTGTTAGCAACCCCCCTCTATTATGTTGGGTTTTTTTTTATGTTTACTCCAGGCTGGATGTGGCTCTGGGCAGCCTGGTCTAGTGGTTGGTGAACCTGCACACAGCACGGGGGTTGAAACTGGATGATCATTATGATCCTTTTCAGCCCAGGCCATTCTATGATTCTGTGACGTGCACTGAGGAGACAGTATTCTTCTTCAGCTGTTTGAGCTGAAGTTGTGTTTGATTGGTTAGGTGAAGATGAAATAGCTTAGCTTTCATTGTAACTTTTCAGTGAATATGCATGTTTCACATAAGGCACAGGTGAAAGCAAAACAGTTCCTCTTTGTTGTAACTGCATGTTTGAGTTCAGGGTTAATCGCAGTATTCTTCCACTAATTGAATAGCAAATAATTGTCTTGTATAGAAGGAAAACTTCGCTTTTGTTTTGTTTTGTTTTGTTTTTTGTTTTTTTTTTTGTGTGTGTGTGTGTGTGCTCCATGTTTTCTGAAGTAGAAAAAAGTTGATGTTAAACTTACATATGGTCTGTTTCTTACCATAACTATATTTTTGCGGTACTGTGAGTAAACAGATTCTTAAGAAGATTCTTCAGGAATAGTCAAGGTTTGGAAGGAAGAGTTGTCCTCTTACTGAGGGTAGTATGCTATTAAGAGAAAAAAATTATTTCTAATTGCATAATTAGTGGCTCTCTTTGTTGTTTTCAAGTGCATTAAGCATTTTCAGTTGAAATGAAATGGATATGAAAAAACGATAATTGTAAACAGTGAAGACTTCCAGTAAAAAAATCAGTTCATTGTTCTACCTAAGGGATATCTGAAGAGTATGAGCCCAATTATCCATAACACTTGCTTGAAGATAAAGCACAAAACTGTGTAATGACTTAAAAATAAATAAATAAAAATAATAAAAATAATAATAATAATAAAAATCCAGGGAGAAATAAGCTGTTGACTTTGAAAGAAAATTATGTGTAGGTTTTGCTCTTGGAATCATTCAAAAACTACCTCAGCCCTTGTCTCCAGGGATGGCTGAGGGAAGTTGAAACAAGCTTGCTATGATATAGAGGTCCATTTGGTGACATTCTGTAGGTTTCTTTGAATCTTAGACTTCAGGATTGCTCTAGGCTGTGGTAGCATGGATCTTTGCATTCCTGCACATTTTTCTGAGTTCAGGCTTGAATTATGTTTAGCTGCATGCCATTTCTTAATGGAAAAGGCATATTTTGGAATTGTTTTACTGAAGCATTGAATTTGCTTTCCTCCAGTTTTTCTCTTACCTACTTAACAATTTTTTTCTTGACTGAAAAGAAGGAGGTAGCATCAAAAATCAGCAGTCCTATATGCGATGAACTCCATTAGCAATTTGTTTTCCCAGACTTTGTGTTTGTTGATAGCTGTGTGTATGGGAACTACTGAGTCATGGCCTGAACCTCTGATTGATCACCTGAGGCGAGCCATGAGTCAGCCAGAGGAGCACAGGTGAAGGCAATTCACCTATGCTGCCGGAAGGGGTGGAGCCTGGCTGCACCTCTCCTAGACCTATTTAAGAGCTGGCTACGAGTGGGGAAGGATCTTGTTTGGAGATCCCCTCTTCTGGTGTTTTGTAGGTGAGCCCAGCATAAGGGTAAGCCTTCCATTTATTCTCTCTTGTTATCGTAGCCCACTTTGCCTAACTCTCTTGTTTATTTTGTGATTGTAACATCTTGATATCCACTGATTATACGCTGTGCGATAAGGATAGGATTTCAGGGTGAAGTCACTTGTGCCATGCAGACTCTAGAAGCCTGGGAAGTTTTCTACTTGATTTCCTGTCATTGGGAGATTCAGAAATGTTTTTTACTTATACTCTTGGTTTATCAGAAGTAAGCAGGTTTTTAACTTCCTTTACGCGTGCATACATGTAACAGTGTTTCTCCCTTATTCACTTACTTCCTAGTTGTAATGAACCTCTATGGAGTCTGGGTTCTTAAACTCCTTCCCTTAGTAGTGAGAGTTCTCAAACAGTATCCTCTTTAAGCTGAATATTAAATTTATAGTAAACTTCTCATTACAAATGAAATAATTACATCTATCTAAAAGCGCCTTTTTTTTCCCCGCAATATAAGTGTTACAGTCTTTTTTTTTTTTCTTTTTCTTTTTCTTTTTTGGAAAAATGATTCATAAGAATCAGTGCAGAACACAAGATATATCCAGATTGAAAATGCTACGTGCCCTTCCATGTATAACAATGAAATGTGCATTTTGCTACTGAGATTGCAAATATGTCACTGATATCTGCATATAATTAAATGATTTAGATTTTTTTTTCTGGCTGTACTTACTGGCAAATGTTTCCTGAATGTCTTGCTAATGATAAACTTGCTGCTTCTGCATTGTTGTTTTAGGTAAAGCTTAAGAGCATATTGGCTATTCTTACCTAACGCTAGAAATATTTCATGGACTAAAAATTCATTATTAAAAGAGTTGCATATAACAAACTTGTTTTTCAAAGAGGATAAATTGATAAAAAATGAAAGGATTTACAGTGTGGAACCTTAGTCAGATCTTTCAAGTGAGTTATTGGGTAGGATATAAAGCATCTATCCTAAACTGTGTACAAATCACCACACAGCTGCTGCACACTGTGAACTTAGAAAAGACAGTTCTTTCACCAGTGTTGGTTGCATTTCATGTATTCATTTCCTTACTAATTCCTGTGTTTCCACTTTACTATATCTGCTGAGACTTGGCCTGTCAGAAAAACTGACAGCCCTGAGCTTTCTATCTGTTAATCCTCTTAGAAAAATAGCCTCACATTTTGGGTAGTGCATACAGGCTCCAACAGACCTTGTAGAATCATAGAATGGCTTGTGTTGGAAGGGACCTCAGAGCCCACCCAGCCCCTGCCGTGGATAGTGCTGCCCCCCATCAACTCAGCTGCCCGGGGGCCCCATCCAACCTGGCCTTGAGCGCCTCTAGGGATGGGGCACCACAGCTTCTCTGGGCAGCTGTACCAGCACCTCACCATCCTCTGAGTAAAGTATTTCCAGCTAACATCCAATCCAAATTTTCCCTCTTTTAGTTTAAAACCATTCCCTCTTGTCCTATCACTATCAGACCCTTTAAAAAGTTAGTCTCCCTCCAGTTCGTAAACTACCTTCAAGTACTGGTCACAGTGAGGTCTCCCCAGAGCCTTCACTTCTCCAAGCTAAATTAAGTCCAACTCCCTCAACTTTTTTTCCTTTGTTTACTGATGTTGTCACTGCATCACAGAAGGCTATCAAAGGTCAGGCACAGTCTGCCCTTAGCAAAGCTGGCTGTCACAGATCACCTCTTTATCTCACATGTGCCTTAATAGAGCTTCCAGGAGGATCAGCTTTGTGATCTTCTCATGCACAGGTGTGAAGCTCACAGGTGTGTCATTCCCTGGCTTTCTTTTTCTCCCTTTCTTAAAAATGAGAGTGATGTTTCCCTTTTTACAGTCATGGGGGACTTTGCCTGATAGCCAAGACTTTTAAAGTATGATGAGAATTGTACCACAACCACATCAACCAGTTCCTTCAGGATCTTGGGATGCATACTGTCCAGCCACATAGACTTGTACACATTCAGTCTCATGAGACAGTCTCTAACTTGCTCCACTCTTACAGAGGAAGATTTTGATCCCCTGCCACCCCCCCCCCCAACTAGAGGTTTGGGGATACGGAGGAGTGGGAAGCCTTACTGCTTCTGCTGAAGTCTGAGGCAAAGAACTTGAGTACCTGTTTGCTCCATGTCTGTTAAAGCCAGTTCTCCCTTTTCGTTTACTTACAGAGAGAGTACATTTTCCTTTGCCTTTGGTGCTGGCTTCACTCTTTTGTTATATAAATCTTTCCATTCTAATTGAGACTTTGAAATCTTTTGTTTCATCCTCAACCCATTTCAGTTTTATTTAATTCTTTTCAAGAATAAATCTAGGAATGGTGATTGATTGGATCAATCTAACCTGTCTTTTCTGCTTTACTTTTTCAGGATTGCACAGTATATGAAACAGAGAATAAAATTCTTCATGTGGTAAGTCGCTTTTGGATTTCTATTAATAAATGTACTTGCATTGAACAAATAGGATTCTATCTCTGTGTGTTTTGTACTTTTTCCGTGTGTTGCCAGTGTGATAATGAGCTAGTCTGTGTGTGACTGACTGCTGAATATTTGGAAATAAGTACGAATAGGTAATGATTGCTAAGAAAACCACGCTTGACATATGAGAAGCCAGCAACTTTGTAGTGGCTTATGTTTTAGGCTGGTTCATGCCTATCTGTTGTTTGTAAAACATGGTTAGGAAAATGATTTTGAAGAATGAGATTTCCTTTTAGAGAGCTGTTTTCTAGTCTTATATGATATCATATGTAAATGTTAGTAACATAGCTTTCTTTATTCATCACTCCTAGGAGTACTGAGCTAGTGTAGTGATAAGAAGATTAAAGCAAAGCTTTCCTGTTGAATTCTCAGCATAAATACAATAGTCTATTCCCAGATTTTCTACTGCTATTCATAACAAATAAAACAGCTGAAATTTGTCAGCACTTAAACACCAGAATATAAAATGGTTTGGAAAGGCTGACACGTTAGGGGATGGAGAGAAGAAAGTTTGAGAAATCTTGTGTGAAAACTACTGAGATGACGTAACACCTAAGTATTAAATACTAAATTGCCTTTCATGTTCTGTTGGTGGTTTAGTGAGTATCAAGTTAACCCTGACACTGCTTCTGAAATGTGGAGTCGCACTGAGATGTGAAGCCTTATTTTCTAAGGGTGAAAAATAAAGTAACTTAACTGATGAAAATGATAATATTTTACCTTTCACTGTATTTCACTTTCAGATAGGTTTTGATATCTTATTTCTCTTATGGTCTGATTTTAATGAAGAAAAAAATAATTTATTTTAAAACATGAACTTTCCAGTAACGTTGCTACACTTTTTTTATTCACCTCTCCTATATCAAATACATGGCAATCTGAATTCTGTAAGCTTTTGACAATTTGATTTCACAGTGATGTGGAGTAAAATGTCTCCTTGTAATTTTAAGTTACACTGACATTTTTCCCCTGTGGGACACAAGGAATTTACATTTTTAGTCAGGCTGACATCATCTTCTTTGCTAGGCTGATCTCTGCAAGCATTTAAGTAATGAAGTTTTTAATTGCATAATCTTGGCAAAAAATGAAGTACTGTAAGTTTGAATCCATTATATAAAGCCTGATTTTCAATACATGCTTGTTTTCTGCTGTAAGAGCCAAGATTTTTGACATCTGATGTATATACAGTATATAACATTTGCAAATTAGCAAAAAGAATTTGAAAGAGAGCTGGCAGTGGTTGAAGCTGATGAAGCATCAATTAATATAGTCTCCAACATAAAATTTTGAGGAAGCCAAGAGAGATTCATTTAAGATGTGAATGGACAAATCTGAGACAGGTTTCATTACAGTTACATTAAAAATAACTGCAAATGATGAAGTGACATTATCTTATGTTATTCAGACTCACACAGGCTTATTACTTTAATCCACAGCAACCACTTTGTGGTGACAAGTGGACACATAAGTTAAGGTAGAGAGCTTAATTACATTCTTTGGTGAGTGCTCAAGGTGACAAGGAAACATGAGCAGAACACCATACTTGTTGCCTAGGGTTAAAGTTGACTTGTATGTATTGTACATAACTTGGATTGTTTCTGATCATGTTACATTTCAACTGATGGATGGAATTTCATGAAGCAAAAGCTGACAATAGCAAACAAGGAAAGAGAAAAATCTGTCTGAATAATTAAAAGATTAGTTTTGAAAGCAGATTCTGAATTTGAAAGGGAATATTTTAGAAGTGCAAATGTAAAGATTAATGATAGAATTGAAAGCAGTCACCATTCCCTCTAACTCCTCTGGGAAGACAGAAAAAGGTGTTGTGAATTTTGCCTATTAGAAAATCAGGGGATCAGTGTAAGAGAGAGGTTTACAACAATAGTAACAAAAAAGTAGTAGGGAAAAAGCCTGATATTTAGAGCGAGCATGTGTCTTTTATCTCAGTATCAAAGAAGAGAGGACAGTAGTTATCTTATTGGATATCAAAATATTTGAATGCACACACACATGCAGAGCAGTAAATGCAGTGCAAACCAGGTTAAAGATGTTCAAGAGAGCGATTAAGAATTTAAATCTCTTTTTATAGACTGTGTATCTTTGAGGTGAATGTTAATAAGAAGGTTCTCCAATATCAAAAGAGTAGAGTAAATTTTAATAAAAGCATAGAAAGAATCTTGAATGCAAAACCTCGAAAAAACAGCAGAAATGGAAAGGACTCAGACAGATACAATATAATTTGATTTTCAAAAAAGAGATAATTTAGTTTCTAAGACCAAACTGTTTTTTGAGTATGTTACCTATTAGCAAACAACAAAAATTCCTGCTGATATCAGACATGTCTGACTAGCATCTCATCCAGCTACTTTTTGAATGATCACATACCAATGTGTAGCTGGAGTGAATTACAGAGGAACTTGAATTCAGAACTGCATGTTTGTCCATGATTTCATGTACAGTGTGACAGAAAAAAGGTTCCTCCCAAAAGTAAAAGGCAATGACTTAAAACTGATTAGCAATTTGTGTAATTAGCCTATGGAAACCCTTGTTGCAAGGCAAAACCGCCTGGATGCCTACCTGTGTGACCTGGTGTAGGGAACCTGCATTGGCAGGGGGGTTGGACTCGATGATCTCTGGAGGTCCCTTCCAAGCCCTACAATTCTGTGATTCTGTGATTTTTCTCACTAAGGAAGTATAGTTTTAAAAGTTTTTGAGGTTTTAAAAGATCCTTTTTTACCTATGTAGCTACAGCATAAAAATAAATTAAAGATAGGTATATACTTTTATTCTTCAGGACATCAAGAAATTTGCGATTTTACTATCACTGGATACAAGTAGTTTATTTTTGTCCATGTCACCTGTCAGCGGTCTTGCAGGTTTACTTCAGAGCAGGTTGAACACATCCTTCATTCACATGCTTAAAAGTGTTTTCTTAGGCTCACGTGCAATCGTTCGGAGGCTGGAGTGCTGTAAGTACACAACTCTCAGGGAGTTGCTGCCCAGTTCCCAGCAGAACGAGCCTTTGTTGTGCTCACCCATCCTGTCACCTGAGCCAAATCAGGGGTCAAGAGGGTGTGTGGGCACAGCTGGGGTATGTGAGACCACGCTGCTATCAGTCAGATGCTATCAAAATGCATCTGTGGATACTGCCAACATCAGTGAGTCACTCACTCTTCTCTATTTCCTTGGAAGCATGGTGAAGTAGGCAACATCTCGCACAACAGGCGAGATCCTTAGTTAAATGACAAATTGTTTGGCTTTAGGTAGGGCCAGAAAGTAGTTGATGTATTCATTTTCTAACAGCAGTAATTTCTTTTGGAAAGTCCTCTTTCTTCGAGATAACTGTGGGAGTTCGCGTGGAGAGATTGCTGAATCACCTTATCCATAGATAGTATGTTTTAATGTGAACAAACTTATTTTGAAGTCAACTTTTTGTCAGAGAAATGGTACTCTCTGATGACAGAAATGTATGAATCCAGCCTATATTCAAGAAGGATTTTTGTTTACTCTTTGAGCAATTGGATCTTCAAATACTTCATAAATCATTTTGTCATCCCTCATGATATTAGCTTAAGTAGTAAACTAGGCTGTGCTATTTACCTGAACACATAAAATGGATCTAAAGAAAAAGGTCACATGTAAAATAGATGACATTTTAAGAAGTTAACCATGTCAGTTTTGTTTATTTATTTTAAACAGAAGTTGCAAGAACGTGTATTTGGGAAAAAACAAGTTTCTACTTAAATTTTCTGCCCTAGATTTGCAGGTGTGTTAAAACAACTTTGAAGACTTGTATATTTCTTAAAGTTATTTTCACTGTGAATTAATTCATAAAAGCCGTGCAATAAGAAGCATAAAACTATGTGGGAATAATATGCTGGGTTTTACTCATTAAGAGATTTCTGCTTCTGAAATATTCATGACAACTGAGAAATGCTTTGTATTTCTATCACTGCCAATTTCTCAGAATGTTTTTTTTCCATGTTACCTTTTGCTCAACAATCCATGTAACAAATAAATAAGTAGATGGTAGAAATTGTAATAATTTGTTAATGTAAGCACAAAATAAATATCAGCAGAAAAAAAACGCCAACGAAAGTAGATGGCAAAAAAAAAAATAACTTCAAAGAATCAGTTAAAATATAGTTGGCCAAAATATGAAGTATATAAGCCATGGGTTGTTTTCTTTAAAATTGGGAGTTGCCATTTTGTATCCAGAATCTTAATATTAATTCATCTTGAGATGATAAAGTGCATGGAAAACAGCTCAGCTTAAATAGGTATTGGTTCTGCTTATTTGGGGAGTTAAGATGTTTGCAAAAGTCAGAATGGAGCTCTAAAGTCTTTTAAAAATAATTTGTTCATTCTTTCCAGCAGTTCAGTGCTCAGTAAGATAGAAATACGTAGTTCAATCAGTATGAAACAGTGCAGTATTAAATTGAGACTGAGATAAGAAGGACTAATTACAGAAAGCAGAAGTGACGTTCTAGTCAGATTAATAAGTTTTTACTGAGTTTTCAGCTTAATTTTCTGAAGATTATGCTGCTTTTCCTGAAAAGGTACAGCTTTTTAATCTGGAAAACTGTGGAAATTAGAACTGGAGACTGAAATTAATATTCAGATGTGTAGCAGAAATGCAAATTTACGGCTTGAACCAGTGATTGAGCACCTGGTGAAAGGCAGGCCAACCCAGGGGAGCTCAGCTGCATGCAGTGCACTTGAGCGACCAGGAGGGGTGGAGACAGGATCTACCTCCTCCCAGACCTCATTTGAGGGTTGGCACTGGAGGCGAGGTATCTTGCTGGAGGTCTCTCTGTATCTCAGGCCTTCCAGGGGGTAAAAAGTCTTTTTTCTTTTGTTTCTGCATCCACGGCTGCTGCATTTGGGCTTATCCTCATTTGCTGTAGCCAAGGGCTTTGCCACCCCACCACTAG